GATGGAGACCAACAGCATTCGGATTCTAACATCCCCACCATGAACCCTGAATGGAGAGATATCCACTGTTTTCCCTGCAATTATTTTCCTTCTAGTCATGCCTTTTAAAGCAATGACCATGTTGTCTGAACTGGCCAGGCCTTCTTAAATGTCAGCCTCAGAGCTTTAAGGGAAATTGGAGATGCAGTGGATTCCAGGATTGAGACAAACAAAATCTATCCCAGATAAAAACTAAGCACTATGTCAGTTAATACCAGCCAACAGTGAAAACTATAGTAAGGGCTCACGTCTAACTCTCTTCAGTTCCTCCTCTATCACAAGCATTCATTAACTTTGTTCTTCCTGAGGCTCTAATTAGCTTCTCTCTTCATTGCAGATGGTGATGAATTGGAAGGGAAGAACAAGGGGGACCATAACAGTATCCACACAGCAGAGAAGTCAGATAAATATACAAAGTGCGGAGAGAACATCTGCCGGAGCCCCCAGTCCACCTCACATCAAGGAAAGAGCTTTGTTCGGAGGGATAGAATCTCTTCACATGAAAGAACTAATAGCGGAGAGAAATTGTATCAGTGCAGAGAATGTGGGAAGAACTTCAGTCACCGTCAGAATCTGACTTGCCATCAAAGAATTCATACAGGGGAGAAACCCTATCAGTGCTTGGAATGTGGAAAGAGCTTTTGTCACAGTTCCAGTCTCACTTCCCATCAAGGAATTCATAAAGGGGAGAAACCCTATGAGTGCTTAAAGTGTGGAAAGAGCTTCAATCGGAAAGATGGTCTCAGTATCCATCAAAGAATTCATACAGGGGAGAAACCCTTTCAATGCCTTGAGTGTGGAAAGAGCTTTCGTCACAGTTCCGGTCTCACTTCCCATCAAGGAATTCATAAAGGGGAGAAACCCTATCAGTGCTTAGAATGCGGAAAGAGCTTCAATCGGAAGAATGGTCTCAGTATCCATCAAAGAATTCATACAGGGGAGAAACCTTTTCAATGCCTTGAGTGTGGAAAGAGCTTTCGTCACAGTTCCAGTTTCACTTCCCATCAAAGAATTCATACAGGGAAGAAACCCTATCAGTGCTTAGAATGCGGAAAGAGCTTCAGTCAAAGTTGCAATCTAACTTCTCATCAAAGAGTCCATACACGGGAGAAACCCTATCAGTGCTTGAAATGTGGGAAGAGCTTCAGTCACAGAGAGATTCTCACTTGCCATCAAAGAATTCATACAGGGGAGAAACCCTATCAGTGCTTGGAATGTGGAAAGCGCTTTAGTCAAAGTGCACATCTCACTTCCCATCAAATAATTCATACAGGGAAGAAACCCTATCAGTGCTTAGAATGTGGAAAGAGCTTCAGTCAGAAGGATGGTCTCACTTCCCATAACAGAATTCATACAGGGGAGAAACCCCATCAGTGCTTGGAATGTGGAAAGTGCTTTCGTCAGAGAGGTAATCTCACTTCCCATCAAAGAGTCCATACAGGCGAGAAACCATATCAGTGCTTGGAATGTGGAAAGAGCTTTCGTCAGAGAGGTGATCTCACTTCCCATCAAAGAGTCCATACAGGCGAGAAACCATATCCATGCCTGGAATGTGGAAAGAGCTTCGGGTATATGCAGTGTCTTAGTTTGCATCAAAAACTTCATACGGGGGAGAAACCCTATCAGTGTTTTGAATGTGGAAAGAGCTTCAGCCAGGGGGCCCATCTCACTTCTCATCAAAGAATTCATACAGGTGAGAAACCATATCAATGCTTAAAATGTGGGAAGAGCTTCAGTCTCAGGCACAGTCTCACTTTGCACCAAAGAATTCATACAGGAAGGAAACCCTATCAGTGCTTGGAATGTGGAAAGAGCTTTCGTCACAGTTCCACTCTCACTTTGCACCAAAGAATTCATACAGGAAGGAAACCCTATCAGTGCTTGGAATGTGGAAAGAGCTTCACCTGGAAGAACAGTCTCACTTTCCATCAAAGAATTCATACAGGGGAGAAACCCTTTCAATGCCTTGAGTGTGGAAAGAGCTTTCGTCACAGTTCCACTCTCACGTTGCACCAAAGAATTCATACAGGAAGGAAACCCTATCAGTGCTTGGAATGTGGAAAGAGCTTCACCTGGAAGAACAGTTTCACTTTCCATCAAAGAATTCATACAGGGAAGAATCCCTATCAATGCTTAGAATGCGGAAAGAGCTTCAGTCAAAGTTCCAATCTAACTATGGACCATAGAGTTCACACAGGGGAGAAACCCGATCAGTGCTTGGAATGTGGAAAGAGCTTTCGTCAGAGAGGTGATCTCACTTCCCATCAAAGAGTCCATACAGGCGAGAAACCATATCCATGCCTGGAATGTGGAAAGAGCTTCGGGTATATGCAGTCTCTTAGTTTGCATCAAAAACTTCATACGGGGGAGAAACCCTATCAGTGCTTTGAATGTGGAAAGAGCTTCAGCCAGGGGGCCCATCTCACTTCCCATCAAAGAATTCATACAGGTGAGAAACCCATATCAGTGCTTGGAATGTGGAAAGAGCTTTCGTCAGAGAGGTGATCTCACTTTCCCATCAAAAGAGTCCATACAGGGGAGAAACCATATCAGTGCTTGGATGTGGAAAGCGCTTTAGTCAAAGTGCACATCTCACTTCCCATCAAAGAGTCCATACAGGCGAGAAACCATATCAGTGCTTGGAATGTGGAAAAGCTTCACTAAGAGGATGCAGCTTACTTCCCATCACAAAATTCATACAGAGGGAAAACCAAAAAAGAAAAATGAATAACGCAAACATTTTTGAACAACCCTTACAAAACACATTTGTATAGAAAAGAGAAAGGGCGGGGGAGAATAACTAAAATACCTTTTATCACATTTGTATCATATCATTTGTCAACACTTAGAAAGGCAGGCTCCCCAGCGCTCCCCTGGGTGCTTTTAGGTATTGTATGTAGCAAATGTCTGTTCCAGAACCCTGAAAAGAATAAAGTTGGAGTTGTATACATGAAAAGAGAATCAGCTAGGCATGGGAATTGTGATTTATCTTGAACTCTTTTGTAGATGGATGAAAGAGGACTTTGGAAGACATTTATTGAATAGGAATATTAGCCAAAGTCTTAAAAAGAAAGACAAAAAAATTGTTATATGTCGTCACATGATATGATGAGGGCTTATCTGAAGAGCCAAATGATTTTGGTTAGTTCAGGATGATGACATTGGGCTGCAACTATTAAGATTGCTGTGATCCTTGAAGATGATGGGTTTTTCGGAGCTAGCCAACCTAACCGGAAGAGTCTGCAACCAGAAGAAGGAGGCATATCAGGAAGAATGGACTAAATTTAATGATTATTTAGTTAAATATGTCAAGTTAGATGAATATGGAATCAGCTTGCAGATACTTAATCGACTTAGGATTTTATAACAAGTTAAGTGATGAATTAGGTGTAATTTCAAAGTGAAAAGAATCTAAGGATGTTAATGTTCAAGTTAAACTTTATAAGAACTGTGATTTGGAAAACCCTTAAAAGGATATGCATTGAAATTCAACCAAGGGGAAGCGAGGAAGGCACTTAACAATTTTAATAAGTGTAATTTTTAATATGGTTATGATCTATGTTGTTTGTTTTATGTGTTTGTAATTTTGTGAAAACCAATAAAAAAATTGAAGTAAAAAAAAAGATTGCTGTGATCCTTTGATGGTGAATAGGAATGATGTGCAATTTGCCATTTCCATCCAAAAAAACACCTACAATAAAATATAAATTACTTATTGATCGGAGAAAGAGAGGCAGATTTGACCTACCTGACCTGGATTATATCATGCTGCAGCAGGTCTGACCTGCTTAAGGGAGTGGATTAAGTTAAAGGACACTGATTGTTAGATCTGGAGGAAGTAGGAACTCAATTTGGATGGCATGCATACCTAATAGATGGAAAGGAGAGAGTCCACATGGGTTTTATAAGGAAATCATTGTATAAAATATGGATGAAATATAAAGGGATTCTAGAACCCAAAACACCTTGGTGGACCTCACCTTAGAAATCATGACTGTAAAGAGAAGAATATGAATAACAACTGGGCAACATATAAGGATTACTGGAAGAGGAAAATAATAAACTTAAATTGAAGGATATAAGGACTTAAGCAAATATTTGAACAATTGGCTGCAGTTCTTTCAAATTAATCAGAGATGACAAAAGAGGAAGAAAAAGGATTTCAGAAAGGAAATTTCAAGATTGGATGAGTACTTACTCCAATTCTAAAAGTAAACATATTTCCAAACTATATGATTTGCTCCTAGAATGGGAGGTAAAGGAGGAGCAAGTGAAGACAGCGATGGTAAAGTAGGCCCAAGATTTAGGGGAAAATATGATGAGCCAACTACTGTGAGACAGGGATATTAAATTTACGGCATGCTACAATTTAAGAGAGAATGTAACGAAAATGCAATACAGATGGTACTTGACCCTGGTTAGACTGGCAAAAATGTATAAAAACTGTAGTGATATTTGTTGGAGATACAACAACGGGGCGGGAACCTTTCTACACATGGGGTGGGAATGCAAAGAGATTGTGGGGTTCTGGGAAAATATTTACAACAAGTTGAAAAAGTGAATAAGGAGTGGGCTATCTTTAAGGAATACATCAAAAGCTATGTGGAAAAAGTCAAACTTTTGACAGATATTCAGTGAATCCAGAACATGATTAGAGTGAAAGGAGAGTAAAGTTAAGATAGAAGAAGAGATTAAAGAAATAATGAAATGTGTTTAAGGCAATTGGAAAAATAAAGTAGTGTAACAAGAACGGCTGGAAGTCAAGTCAGTTTGTGGGTGTTCATGTGGGGTAGATGTGTTGGTATGTATAGTATAGGTAGGCATAATATAGAGTAATGTAGGTATGCTTTATGTTAGGAAAATAACGTATTGTGTATATGTACTGTGTAAATGTAAATGTATGTGTTCTATA